CTGGGAGGTGAGGCAAAAGGCGTCTAATGAGATAAGACTTGAGTGAGGCTCAGAGAATTTAGAACATGAGTCTTTGCCGGGCACAAGGGAAGGCTGGCTAAGAGACTGGGATCAGATTTGGAGGGTGGGGAATGGCAGGGAGGAGAATGGCCATAGAAATGGAGAGACAGTTAATTCTGGTAGTTGATGAATGTTAATGTATTTTTGGAAAAGCTTAGGTTACTTCCCATTACTTTCAACATTACAAAAATGTTACAGAAGTTTAGCATCATTAGCTTAACTCCTATAAATATTTACTCTGATTAAATCCCTTTTACCCCCTTCAAATTAGTAATAATGTTATAAGGTTATAATTTGCTTAACAGTTGACATATAACAGGTACTTTCAAAGACGTGTTGACTGATCCATCTTCCTACACGTCATATGTCTAAAGTTATGCTCTATGCTCAGTGCTTACAAGACAATATAAAATGAAACAATTTATAGGAACCATGGTATTTTCTAAACTAAAATGTGTTAGTACATGAAAGGAACTTTCCTGAAATAAAGTATCGAAGAAAAGCATAGAGGCATTGTGAATGCACCCACCCTCAATGGTTAAAAAAGTAAAAAAAAAAAAAAAAAAAAAAAAAAAAAGGGCAAAGACACTATTTACTAAGTATGAGGCCATGGATATAATGAGCCTCTGCACTCCACTGCTTAGGGGGTGGAACATAACTATTTCCTGCGGGTGAAGGCATCTCCTTGCCTGCCTGCTGTGCGTTAATCCCTGTCTAGACTGTCAGAGAAAAGCAAGGAAGATGGTCATCTGACTTCAGGACAATCCACTCAGGAAGGGGACAAGATCGTCAGTAATGGTCTTCCCAACCATGAGCCGTCTTCATGCTATCAGGTGCCGGGCACCCAGCAGGCTCCCCAGCACTTCCCAGATGTTAAATGTGACTAATAGTGACATCCGGCGCATCTCGTCACCACGGAAACGTCTTGGTGGGCTGTCAGATCGTATACGGAATTTAAGAAAATCCATGTCAGTGAGGAAGACAGAGTGAGGCCGACATCACGTCTGCACGAGCCAGAAAGCACAGAATGCACTCTACAGCCTCTGCATCCAGAAAGCACCGGAGATTTGATGGAATGAATGTCACCAACTTCATGAGAACCCCCATGTCACATTTCACTTTCTTGCACCTTCATTTTCTTTTTGCTTTACCCTTCTTTATTTCGTCCATTTTTTATCTTGCTTCATTGCGTAATACAGACGGCCATACCTCGGGGGGATTGTGGGTTTGGTTCCAGACTATCACAATAAAGTGAGCATCGCCCTGAAACAAGTCAAATAAACTCACTGCACGTAAAAGTTGCTTTCATACTATACTACAGTCTATTAAGTATGCAAGAGCATTTATGTCTAAAAAACTACATACCTTAATTAAAAAATATCTGACTGCTAAAAAATGATAACCATCAATTGAGCGTTCAGCCAGTCATAATCACTGATCACAGATCCCCATTAACAAATATAATAATGATTTTTTTTAAAAAGTCTGAATTGCAAGAATTACCCAAATGGGACAGAGACATGTAGCGACCAGCCAAGTGCTGTTGGGAAAATGGCGCTGACGGCCTTGCACCCTCCTGTGCAGGGTGGCCGCAAACCTTCCACATGTGAAACATGCCTGATCGGTGACATGCAACAGAGAGACACATGAGAGAGTAGGGGGTGCTTGTATCTCTGTAAGCTCCCTTAAATCTCTTTAAAAAAAAAAAAAAGGCAAGGTTTACAAAAACTACATCATGTGCTGGTGCCAAAGGCTTTTTGGCAAGGGGATGTGCAACTAAGTTCCCAAATATTCGGCTCCTATACCGGGACAGGATGCCACGGCTGATATTTAACAATGAAGACTTGGCACCACTGGGACAGTCTTTCTGAAAAGATCGATGGAATACAAATATCAAGCCACTTTCGGCCAGAGAAAGTGATGCCCGTTGAATGAGAGAAGACACGGCAGATACATAATGAACAGCTGGACGAGAGGTAGGAAATGACAATAAAGGACTTCCAGAAACCACCGCACCAGCTGAAGAACTGGGCCACGTTTAACAAAACAGGCTTTACTGACCTTTCTGGGTGACTCCTAAAGTTGTGTTTTAAATAAAGGTACTAAGTTTGCCCTTAAACCTTGAAAACCGGCAGCCTACAAGCACAGCTCTGCAGCCTCAGAACTTCCCAAAGCAATGATTAAAACAGCAGAAAAACTCTGATGGTTCTCAAAGTTAACTCTAGATCCCCCAAACGTACATGGCCTGTGCTGCCGGGAGACGAGGGCTTTGAGAGAGCACCTGACTCTCAGCCGTCGCTTAGGGCTTCACATCTTTCACCAGGGGGGTGCTCAGCGTCACTGAATTCTGTAACGTCACTATCTCACATCAGTAAAACACCCTCAGTGCTACCTGTTACCTATACTCTCTAGAACAGTCTGGCATGAACATGAACACACTGCAGCACTGGCAGCTGCTAATATGGACAGGAAGGCCCAGCAGAGTCCTGGAGAAAATGACCATGTGTCCATGTGTGTGCATCACAGAAGCAGAAAAGTTTATTTAAAAAACAAAACTTTAAACAATACAATGCAATACAATGTTGTTATTAATGACTTTTAAATACTGTGGTTCCACTTTGTTTATTTGGAACATAGATCATGAGGATGACTGAACAGAGGCCCCTTGGATATTCACACCAGTGTTCCCTTATTTTCACCACTTGGCTAAATTTATTTGGGAAACACATATCCTGTAAATAAGTGTTACTGTTTAGAACATTAAACATTATTAATCCCTAAATCTAAGACTAAGAAGAGAATATACAAAAGCTTACTTGCTATTGTCTAATGCTGGTCTTAAAATAATATTTTTCTATAAACACATATCATGAAAAATGCTACTGCTTAATGTATTTCTATCATGTTCCCAGGCAGTAGTTTCTCTATACGACACAGTTTCTCTAGGAAAACGCTCTGTAAAATTCCTTTATGCAGAAAGAAAAACGGACTCCTTTACATGCAGCGGGCCATCGCACAACACATGACAAAATTTGGGGGGAGCACAATTTTATAATGTCAGCGTTTGGCTTCACTGGTGAAAGAAATAGAATGCATACAACCAACCAACCAAACACATGAGACTCTCTATTTAAGAGCACTTCTCACGTTTACTGAATCTGGTTGCTAATTAGATACTTCAGGTTAATCAGCAGAAATCATACCAAGCAATAGTGGACAAAATATAAAATAGACGAACACTGTCATCATTCCCCGGTGAACCGATTGATTTAGGAAGATGCTTTGCAATAGCACTGTGGTTTCAGAAATGTGTTTTGATGCCTACAGAGCCTCTATGGAGGCTGAAAAAGTCTTGACATTTAAACACCATCAGAGCCACCGCTTAGAGTTGTGCACTCCCTGAATCTAATCACGAGAGATCTGTAAGTGCAAGGAGGCCACCCAGAGCCTCCATTCCAGCCCATCTGAGGGTGGATGGCGGAAGCAAGAGTCAAGCCTTTCCTATACTGGTCGGCAGGCTAAGCCGAACTCGCGAGTTCTTCCAAACCTCTTAGTCTCTGAACTCAACCAACTTTCCCCGCCGGTTCTACGCACAGATTAATGGGACGTTCATTCACGCCATTGGCTTGCACAGGAAGGCAGCCTCCAACCGCCTGGTCCCGCAGAGGCGCCAGGGGCCGACCCTTCCCTCCTCTCCCCGAGAAAGGGCTCCTGTCTGGACCTTCTCTCCTCTTCCTGCGGAGGGGGCACCAGTCTTGGGCCCTCTCCCTTCTCCCCGCCGAAACGGAACCACTCCGGTCCCCCTTCCCCACGCCCCGCCCAGGGAGCTCGCTCCCCGCTGCCCTCCCTCCCGCCGAGGGGTACCAGTGCCCCACACTCCCCCGCCTAGGAGCGCCTGCTCCCCGCGCCCCGCTGAGGGGGCACCTGTCTCACCCTCCTTCCCGCCGAGGGGCACCCGTCCCCTGCTCTCTCTCTGGGCCTCCCCGGGGCCTGGGGGGGGGGGGGCACCTGCCCTCCCCCGCCACCGGGGGGCACCTTTCCCCGCCGAGGGGCCCCGGTCTCCCCCCACCCCCCGTCCACTCCCCGCCACGGGGCCCCTGTCCCCCGCCCTCTCCCGGCGCCCCATCGTGGAAGAGGGCGCTGGATCCGAAAAGCCCGCCGCCGAGCCGCGCCTCGCAGGCAAAAACCAGTCGGCGGCCCCGTGGGCGCCCGCGCGCCTCGCGCCCCGCCGCGGCCACTCCCCGCACGCGCGCCCCCAGACCGCCACTCACCCAAACACTCCACTCCCTCGCGCACACACGCGTGTCCTCACACCCGCTCCCGCCCTCGCTGCCTCGCACCAACACGCGCGCGCTCAGCCTCGCTCCTCACGTCCCCCCTCACCCCCACTCGCCCCAGGAACACGCGTGATCTCACGCCCACTCCCCAACCCACCTCCTCACAGAAACGCTCGCTCCCTCGGCGCACGCTCGCCCCGCGCACATTCACGCGTCCAAACACGCGTCCAAACACGCCAGGCGCTCTCCATCCCCACGAGCGCTTCCTCCCCACTCGCTCCGTAGACGCGCGTGTTTGCACACCCGCTCCAGCAACACGCGCCGCTCCCGCTCGGCCAAACACCCCTCCCTCGCACCCGCGCAGTAAACACACGCGGGACCCACGCACATTCACGCGCCAAAACACTGCCCGCTCGCGTGAGCTCGCGCGCCCCTCGAGCTCCCTCCCCCCTCCGCCGCCGCGCGGGGTCCTGGCACCCGCTGCCCGCACACACCCCGCGCCCCCTCGCGCGAACACGCGCGCCCCCCCACGCCCCGGCCGCCGCGCGCCCCCGCCCCGGCCCCGCCCCCGCGCGCCCCCGCCGCCCCGCGCGCCCCCGCCGGCCGCCGCCCTCGCCCCGCACGCGCCCGGCCGACTCTCCCCTCGGCCGCACGCACACTCACTCGGACTCGGAGAGCACGGCCACCGCTCGGTCGCGCTGGCGCCGAGCCGCCTCTGCGTTCCTCCTCCTCTCCCGCGCGGCCCCGCCCGGCCCGGCTCCGACAGCCTAGCCCGGCGCCGACCCGCTCAGCTCCACACGCCGCAGCTGGAACGACTCGGGCTCCGGGTACCGCTGTCTCCCCGCCACAGCCCGAGTGCGCCGCCCGGGCCAATGGCAGGGCGCGGCGGTGAGCTCACCGGCCTCGGCCCCGCCCTCCGCGCCGCGCGCGCCAATCGGAGGGAGCTACGTCACTCGGAGCCGGGCAGAGGCAGGTGTGGGGCGCGGAGCCGCTCGGCGCGGGGACTGCGCCGGAACTGCGCCGGAGCCGCGCGGCGCCGCGCTGGACGGCGGGCGGCCGGGCCCGGAGGGTGCGGGCGGAGCGCGGCCCCGCGGCCCCGGGCGCCCGCACGCGGGGCCCCGGCGGGCCCCGGCCCCTCAGCACTCCGCCAGCTGCTCCGCGCCCAGACTCGAGCCAGGGGGGGCGGCCGCGGTCCCCTCGAGGGCGGGAACGGCCCCGAGCCCGACGGCCGCGCCCGCTCCCCCGGGCCCACGGCCCCGAGAGGCTTCCTCGGGGACCCGCGCGGCGGGGGCGCTCGGGCCGCGCTTGCAAGGCCCCGCGGAGCCGCCGCGCGACCGGCCTGCCGACTCCCGGCCCCGCGGCGCCGTCGGGTCCGCGCGCGGGACCCCCGCCCAGGGTCCCGGCGAACCCGGGCACGGCTCCCGGCGCGGCCCCGGCGCGCCCTGCGGCGGCGGCGTCTGCAATGCAGCCGCGGGAGGAGCCGGCGCTGCGCTGCGCGGCGAGCGAGGGAGCGCGGCGGGCTGGGCGGGAAGGAGGGGCGCGGGGCGCGGCGAGCCCGCCTGGGCCGCGAGCACGCGGGGCAAGTCCTCGCGCGCGAGTGCAGAGGCGCACGGGCGGCGGCCAGGGCAGGGCCGAGGCTGTCTGCTCTGATGGTGGATGGCGGGTCCCCCGGGAGTTCAGGAGCGCCCAAGGCTCCCTCGCCGGCGGCGCGGGGGCCCCACCTCCTGAGCTGGAGTCCCAGGGCCTCCGCCCACTCCTCGGGTCTAACCCTGGCGTGCAAAAGTTCTGGCTGCGGCTCGGCCCTCTCACTTGGATACTTCTGCATAACAACCTCTCGCCTCGCCTCCTGCCCCAACTCCAAATCACACCTCTCCATCAGGGCTCACCGTCTCCTAGCAGCCTTCCGAGGCACCCCAAGTGGACACCACCACCCCTTCTCCGTTCCCTACATTCCTCGCCCTGCTGCTATTCAAGTGCTGCCGCCCCCACACCCACCTACGGTCTTGCACATAGAAAGCGCTTGACCCACGCAGACTCTCCTTGAGGCTATCTTCCTTTTATCCTCCATGTTGTCAATTATCTTTGAGATGGATTGTTTCCCCTTTCCTGCCATCTGGGTTGAAAAGAATCCCCAAAGATGGGGACGGACATTTTTTTTTTAATCCTACCCAAACACGCGCAAAAACCACCACAGTATTTTGCACAGCCCTTAAGTCTGTCCAAACAAAAAATGCTTAGCTGGCTAGAGGCCAAGCCATGGGCGCTCCTTGGGAGGCTGGGTCCTATTCTGCGCCAGGCCTCTGAGCCAAGGAAGCAAGCAGGTGCACAGCCTGACTCCTGGGGGCTGACGGTGTCTGCAAGTCCCTCCCTGCCCTGGCAAAGTCACAACACTCGATGCTGTTCAGAATCTTGCTCCAACAGACCTGTCATGTGCCCTCCCTCACCTGCGTCCATGCACCCTGCTTTCACCACACAGGACCCCTGCACTTCCTGACTCTGCTTCCCAACTTGGCTTTATCTGCTAGGGGGACCCCATCCGTTCCTTAAGGCCTGGCTCCAGCGCCCCCCCCCCAATCCCCAGCAGATGTGACCCTGGAGCAATTATTATGCATTGCTGTCACAGCACTTCCTTGGTGGGATCTATTTATTTTCAGGAAAGGCAATGTCAGGGGCAGCAGTCAAGGAAGAGGGCTTTGGAGACAAACCGTCTGAGTGCAGAGTTAGACTCTCCCAACTGCTGGCCATGTGCTCCACTTCATATCTATGCGCGAGAGTTAAATGAGTCAGTCGATGTGCTTATACCAGCGCCTGGTGCATAAGGCACACTCAATACTAGTTGGCTGCTACTAGAAGTCAGGTTATCTTAGGGTGGTGAGTAGTAAGTGACTGGAAAGGGGAGGGGGAGACTTCTGGGCTGCTGATAATATTCTATTCTTGACCTGAGCACCGGTTTTAGTTTGTGAAAACTCGATGAGCAGAATTTCACATACTTAAGATAATGTGCACTTTTCCATGTGCATATTATACATTAATAAGCTTATTTATTTTGAGAGAGAGAGAGAATCTCAAACAGGCTCCGCTTTCAGTGCTGTCAGCAAGGAGCTGAACGCGGGGCTCCAACCCACAAACCGTGAGGTCATGACCTGAGCTGACCCCAAAAGTCCCCCACCCAGCCGACTGAGTCACCCCGGTGCCCCATGAATTATACACGAATAAGAAGTGCTTTAAAAAGTTGGTTGTTAGGGTGCCTGAGGGGCTCAGTCGGTTAAGCTCAGTCGGTTAAGGGTCCGACTTCGGTTCATGTGTTTGAGCCCCGCGTCAGGTTCTGTACAGACAGCTCAGAGCCTGGAGGCTGCTTCGGATTCTGTGTCTCCCTCTCTCTCTGACCCTCCCCTGCTCACACTGTCTCTCTCTCTCACACACAAATAAATAACATTAAAAATTAAAAAAAAAATTTTTTTTAAAATTGGTTATTAGCTGAGACAGAGACGGCTGTAATCTCAAGACCAGGAAGAAAGTCTTAAATTTACCCTGGCACCTTATGCAATGCCGGGCACACTGTTAGTAGTCAGGTGATAGTCCTTGAGTTGCTCTGAATGCATTGTGAGCAACAGAGAACAATAGGGAGGTGGGATCCTGAGGGGCAACACCTGCTTTTCTACTCTACAATGCCCGGTGACCTCAGGATAATTAGGATCCAGGTTCAGGCGTTTGGACCCCTGCTAAAGAGAAGATGCCTCCAGTCTTTTCTGTCTTTCAGGCAGGGATATGTTTTCCTTGGGTTTATTTTACTTTGTTTTATTTAAAAAATTTTTTAATGTGTATTTTTTCTTTTCTTTTTTTTTTTTTTTTTGAGAGATGGAGACAGAATGGTAGAAAGAGAGGGAGACACAGAATCCAAAGCAGGCTCCAGGCTCCGAGCTGTCAGCACAGAGCCCAATATGGGGCTTGAGCCCGCGAACTGTGAGATCATGACCTGAGCTGAAGTCGGACGCTCAACCAACTGAGCCACCCAGGTGCCCCCCTTGGGTTTATTTTAAAAAAGCAGGGGTTCAGACCCAGACATCCCAGTTGCCCGAGGAGCGCATCAGTGGAGCCGATGGCCCTTTACCCCGCCTCCAGCAGCTCGAGTCCACCTGGCACGTGAGAAAGGTAGTCGTGGATGCATCAGCACTCTGGCTGTGCCCTGGTGGTAAGGCTGGGGTCAGCAGGCTTTCGGGCTCCTTTCGGGCAGCCTGAAGCGACATTTCTGTGGTAGGAAAGTCCCTTCCCTATTCCTCTGCTGGGCTCATTACCCTCCTGGAAGATCTGTCACTCTGACTCCTCACTGCGCTTCTGTCTCAGGATAGAAGCCACAAGAGCATACGCCTTCTTTGGGCCCATTCATAGAAAGTCAGACGGTGCCAGGTGGGGGATGCTAGATGCGTCTGAAGCAAGTTCAGAGCTCTGACAGCATGCTAGAACCGAGTACCCACAGGTTGTCTTTCCTTGTGGGTATGCATGTTCCTTTCTAGCAGGTTAGGAAATGACAGGGTAAGGCATGCATGTGCTTAAGGCAAAATATTACACTAGATTTTTATGGGGCTTTGAGTTTATCCGGGTTGTTTTTAAAAATAGGGATAAAGAAAGCTTTGCTCAGTGATCACTTCGCAGCACTGAGCAAAGTGCAATCTTTGCCCCTTGAAGCAGGGATCTCAGCCCTAACCTCTGTGGAGGGTCTCATGATGAACCAAGGGGGTGCATCCTGTGCAGATGAGAAAGAAAGGAACTCCATACAGTTTGTTGGATCCCTGTTATCACACTCACATACACTGCCATGACTTCTTCTGCAGATCGGCTATCGTATAGAGGTAAAAATAAAGGCTTTAAGAAGTCCGATAAATTGCTTGAAGGCACACAGATGGTAAGCGGCAGATTAGCGTTTTAGGTTCTGAGCCTGTATTTATTTTATCTCTCCCTGATAGTTCTCCAAGTACCTAAAATCTCTTGCTACCATTCATTTAAGAAGCAGCCTGGGAAATTTCTAACAATCACCACATTCTTTTCCCAGCCCTGGACACTATGAAAGCCTGTTTGTGTAAAGATGTAGACTCTACGCAGCCAGGTCCCTGAGCTGCCCTAACAACTGACACTGGACTTGAGCACAAGTAAGAAATAAAGCACTAAGATTGGGTTGTTTGTTAGTGCAGCCTAACTTTGTCTCTTCTAACTCATAAGAAATAAAATCTGTTTCTAACTATATCAGAGATATTTATTTCCAATAGAAAATAACCAAATGGGAGTCTTCTCAAACTAGATGACAATTTAAAAATAAGTGCAAGGTGCCTATTCAGTGTATCTTGAAGGCACTAAGAAGTAATGGAGAAAGAAGGGTCTTTTCACCAAATAAGGCTGGGACAACTGGATATCACCACACAAAAGAATGAAGTTGGGGGGCACCTGGGTGGCTCAGTCGGGTAAGCCACCAACTTCGGCTCAGGTCATGATCTCACAGTTCATGGGTTCGAGCCCCGCATCGGGCTCTGTGCTGACCGCCAGCTCAGAGCCTGGAGCCTGTTTCAGATTCTGTGAGGTGAATCTTTGTGTCCTTGGATTTGGCAACGGTTTCTTAGATCTGACATCAGAAGCATAAGCAACCAAGGTGGGAAGGGGTGGTGATAGATAGATCAGGCTTCATCAGATTTAAAATCTCTGTGCTTCAAAGGACACCACCA